TTACTGCTACCTAGTATATATAGCTCGATACGAGAGTAATACCTTCCTGAACTGTCAACATTCATGAAATATGCCACTTTACGTTAATGTTAGAAAAACAGAATAAACAAAACGGTTCCCCATAACGCGCGCGCAAGCTTTTTTACGTCGGCAATGCAGTTTCCACAAAATGAAGCTCATGAAATGTCCACACATATTAGTTTTAATGCAGCAAAATGGGGAGCACATAGTGCGGCGCTGCTTACATTAAAATATTGTGTACGACCAACTGACTGCCTGCTGACCGCCGCCATTCTAATTTACAAAAAGCCCGTTTTGCTGCCTGGTTATTATATTAGTGATTGCATTTATAAAATTTATTTTTATACAATTATTAAACGCGTTTTCATGCTCTGGTAATTTCGGGTGCTGGCATTAAAGGTATTCAGAGACAAAACTGACTAGTTATGCAGTTTTATAGTAGTTCATGGAACTTGTATGTCTGGACAGTGAGCTGTTCGAAACATTTTTAGAGATTTCCATTTCAGGAAAACATGTTTAACTTATAGCATGACTTGAGACAACATCCATTGTCCACGGCCAGTTCATCGAAATATATGTTAAAGTTCTAAAGTCTATTTGTCCAAGAAAGACCAAATCAATAACGGGCGCATGTTTAGTGCGTGATCAGCACCTTGGTATATTCAAGAATTTAATTTAAATGGTGGAAACTCATTTATAATCAGGCCCAGGGAAGTGGAGTGGAAGACGACACGGCGATGCATGCAGCCTTGCCGGACATGTAACGTGAATTTGGTACGCGTGAATGTGTTTGGGTTTGATTTATTTCGTGGATAATTGGTAAAATATCTGTTGAAGCCTAACTTATTTTTACCGAGCTCTACGCATCATATAACCGAAAATATGTGGGTTTATCTAACCACTTGTTATTCTGAGGGATTTTAAAATTTGTATCTATTTCACTTCCCATGCATAAGCAGAGGGAATATTCTAATCACCAAGATTTCCGTAAGTCAAGTAACCAAATGTTTTTTTTATATGTCTTTGGTGGTTTGACTTTTTATGGTTGTTTGAGTCTTGACTTTTGTAACCGCATAATATCATAAATTGCTGCGCAAATTCAGATGTAATTTCCGGAACGATATGCTGTAAATCTTAATAAATATAATGTGACTGAATTTTTGAAAGTGCAGTAGCGGTAGACTGTTAATTAAACATAGAGACAAAATAATTGTATCATTTGAAAACTTGCTTTTTTCATGTTTTTGGAGTTTATATGGTGAATTGAAAGATAGGAAAACTTGCTAAGACTTATTTTTTATGCAATAAAAAGCTGTTCTTGACACAAGCGCTATTTATGTTAACTAGAACCTAAAAAGACACCAGGGATGTTTTATAGTACTCTATCGTCGTGTTCACCTTCTTGACCTTCTTAGAAGACCCATCCAAAGTCAGATGACGCCTCGGGATTGTCACTTCAAATGACAGACTACTAGAACTGAGACCAAGTAAGCGTGGTACTCTTATCTTTCAGGGAACTGTGACCTTACACACTGATACAACAGCCGCTGCTCAAGTCATTCTCTGGGGCAAAAATTGTGAAAGTTTCACCGTCGTTCATCAGTTTGTTGACTTTGTGAAGGAACGTGAATTATACGAAGAACAGATTATTTGACCGAAAAGGACTACATTCACAAACCTCTTAGACAAACATCAACAGCTCAGAATTTCGGATGATTCCCCAAGGAAGAGAACCACGCCTAGCTCCTCTCATTGTTTCTACTGTCTCGTTTTCCAGAATAGGGGTACTTGACTATGAACTAATAAAATCTGATGAACCAAACCTACGTATACATATATATATATAGGATGCTATTAATTTCCCTGGATATTTTCCAACATCTGCGTGGAATTAGCTTTAATTGAGTACTCAGTTCTGCTTGTGGTATTAAAACGGTTTAAAAATAGATCATATTTCGTTCATAAGCTGAAACGTAAACTTTACAATGTCACGAGCAACAAGAACATCATTATCTTAATATACTAAGTGACATATAAATCCGAACACCCAGTATAAACGGTTTTATTTTAATAAAATTTTGTATAAGTACTTAATGAAGCATAATAAGTAAATGATAAAAATTTCAAAATGATTGCACTGCTTTAAAGCCCTTTGACCTTTAATAATGTGTGGATGCACCCTGATGTGCTACGCATTCTCCAACGCGCCTAGGCATGCTTCTGATCAGGTGGTCAGTGTCCTCCTGTGGTATCTCATTCCAGGCAACCACCAACTCCTCTCGAAGTGCTTCTAGAGTCTGAGGAGGACGTTGCAAATTGAGCAATCTCCTACCCGTCATATCCCGCACGTGCTCAATTGGGGATAAGTCGGGAGATCTTGGTGGCCATGATAACAACGTGACATCATTATGAAGAAAGAAGTCTATTGTGACTCAAGATAGGGTAAAAGATGGGGTTATAGAACTTCGTGGATATAACGCTGCGCGTTCATGTTACCTGTGATGAAGATTAAAGGTGACCTGGAACCATAAGCTATAGCACCCCAAACCATAACTCCAACAGTGTGATGAACATGTCTTTCAACAAAAAACTGTGGATTCCTCCTTTCACCACGTCGCCTTCTAACCCTGGCACGACCATCGTGCATGCCTAAACAAAATCGAGACTCGTCACTAAAGACAATACTGTTCCATTCTTGATTCCAGAGTGACCGCTGTCTGCACCACTCAAGGCGATTACGTCGGTGTTCTCGAGTTAAAGGGAGGACCCAGTGTGGCCGGTATGAAAACAAGCCAAATCTTCTCATTCGTCGGTAAACACTTCGCATGCCAATAGGTCTTCCGTGTTCTGCAAACCATTTATTTGCAATGGACCTGGTAGTGGAGAAACGGTTCCTTAAGGTGAATAATCTTAGGCGGCGATCTTCACGGTCTGTTGTTCTACGGCGGCGTCCAGTGCCCCTTGCTCTTTGCGTACGGCCTTCTCCAAGCCATGCCTGACAACACCTAACCACAGTGTCTACACTTCTTTGCACTCTAACTGCAATTGCCCGAAAAGAAAGTCCAGCTTCCCGAAGTCCCACTATACGGCCCCTATCAAACTCACTACGTTGACGAAATCGTACAGGTCTCTGTACTCTAGGCATCGTAACCGATCGTAAAGGATGTCAAGAACCAAAATCCGCCAACGTTGATTCTTAACTGCGGCTGAAATATTCATTTTTAGAGCGTTAGTGAATTAGAAAAAAGCAGTATAAAAACCGGAATGTCCAACTGATACGACTGAAAATTTTTTCACTTGTTATTTACAGTAAGATAAATACATTCACCAACTTTTATTAAAATAAGACCATTTAAACTGGGTGTTCGGATTTATATGTCACTTAGTATATGTATTCCCTCTTAGACCTTGCTGCATTAGAACTAATTGATTGACGTTTGTGTGCGTTTAGAATTCCATTTACTGTTTTCGAATTTATTCACGATTTCTCCATTTTTATTTATGGCACTCTAAATGGAAAAAATACGAGGCAACAGAAGATTCTGAAACAGTACTTTAAAGCTCTACAACAATTTGTTGGGCTTTCACCTTGACAGTTGTTAGGTAATTTTGATTTATTTCATTTCACTTCTTGTTTCATTAAGCAATCAGTCCCAATCTGAAGCTTGTTAACAGAATTGTATACCTTACAACTTTTCTGTGATGTGTTTCGATTTCACACAACGCGGGTGAAGTGAGGATCTGTCGTAGTACTTCTCAAAGTTTTTGAAAACACAAAAAAAAACGGGGAAAATCGTAATTTATAACTTTGAACATAACCTGTCTTCAGAAAGGACAACATATACCATACATAACCCGTCAGGCACAGCAAATAGATTTATTCATTGGCAACATATTCAGTAATAATTTTCTCACACAGCAAATATCACTGATTTTATATACATGCAGACCAATACGCATACTCATCCAGATGCGATCTTACTGATCAACCAACTTTCCTTCTTCGACATCTTCTCAGAGATAAACACTACGGACTACTCGGCTTCACAAACATATACTTGCTGTATGCAACCAACAATGCGTGTAGTTGAGTCATTCCTCCACAGATGGACACTTAGAGCGATCATAGCGAGCAAACGTGGAATGAACTATTTGCACCCTAAAAACTACCTAGTCTGCAAGATGACATTTTTTTTACCTTTTTATAGGTTTTTTACATAATATCCGTGCGGAACTGCTCTAGAAAGAGTGTATGGGAATACAAAGTGTAGTGGAACGATATTGCTGCTGAGCTGAACACTACTGAATCACCCAGAGTAGCTCAATTGGGTCACTGGAAAGCGAATCTTGTGCGAATGTCCAAAGTCAGCCAAAAGTTAAATGTATTGTCTGCCAAATTTGTATCTTTCAACACATCAGCCTTGCTCTAGAAAGGATGCTTGAGCGGTGACATTGAGTTGACCAAAAACGGCCGCTCAACTCTATGTGTCAAACCAAATTGGTTAACCATTTCCAGCTCTCCACAACCATCAAAAATTCGTTGCCAGAGCATGCCTATTATGATGGGTATCAAAACTATTTGACCTGGAAATTAACCAGCGACTTATATACTGCGCCAGAGTAATTTTTCATGATCAATAAGACACGCGCGCAGTTTTCTCAGAAGTCATAAATATAACCGATGCTTCAATAACGTATGGGAAAATCAATTTAAAAATAAATCACCCAGGCACGTCCAGCGCTAACGAAATGACTCTCTTACAGCAAACAGGTCCCCTCAAGAATGTCATTATACTTGCGCAAAACGCTTTTATTGTCACCGCGTCACAAAAGCCCACATCAGAGCATAAATCTAGCCGAAATTAATAATTTCCCTTTAATGTCGCTGCCGTGTTTGGACTCATTTTTTCACTATATCCTATACATGGCTGAGTTAACGTCATTTTTTAATGGCAAAAATTCCCCGCATGGATATACAAATGAGTTTACTCGTAGGCCTTACGCAGAATGAAAAAAAGCTTGTTAGGAAAAAGGTTGTCAAAAATTTTAAGGAATGAAGCTTGGAATACAGTATAGGTAGTTGATTCATTGCTGGACACCTGTTTCTAACGCCAAACAGACTTGCCGTAGCTACTGAATCTAGTTGGCTATAGAAATTCTCCAAGAATGACATGCAGTGTTGTAGGTGCACTATGGCTAACTAGAAAAGATGATCTTGCATTAACCGTTTGCGGCCAACTCGCTTTCTAGAATGACCAACAATTCATAGTTAATTAACTTTGTTCCTGGTGTATTCTATGTTACCACGATGACTACTGGTACGAGGGATGTCTTTTAAGTTTTGCATATCGAAACATAGTAGGCCGCCCGGATCGACGTCAGTACTAAATCTTAACCTCACTCTTTAGTAAACTTAAATTCAAAGTTTCACAACAATACGTGCAGTGTTCTCACTACTGTGAATTTTTAAGTGTCACCAAGTCATTAAGGAAATGGAACTCAGCAGAAAACATTTTCGCGCCATAATTTAGTACTTTCAGAGACATTTATCCCAACAAGAATGCCTTGCTGAGTTACTGTCTGTTTTCGACAACGAAGCGCCACATCAGTCGACAATTTCCCATTGGTATGGAGAATTCAAACGTGGACGGGTGAGTCTTAGGCCCATATCGTCAGTCGTCCCTACAATTGTAGGGCGCGTTTATGGCCTCCTTGATTGTCATACTCTTTTCTCTCCTTCAAAAATTTCTAGATTACACTCGTCCCGTGTCAGCGTCAGCGCTCTCCTATTGTTAAGATATGTTTTCCTTTTAAATTGTAGGTAATTTCAGGCTGATAAAACATGATAAAACTCAAACGCAAGCACTATTTGATGCAAATAGATGTTTGTGACATAACCTCAAAATAGAGCGCTGACACGGAGAAGTAGAAAACTATGACAATCAAGGAGGCCATAAACACGCCCTAGAATTGTAGGGACGACTGACGATACGGGCCTTAGCGACGATTCCAGGGTGGGTGCACCAAAAACGGCAGTCACCCAGGAAAACGTCGATGCCGTGCGCAAACTCATCATTGAAGATAGACATGTGACATATCGCGAGATTGAGGCGCCCTTGAAGATCTCAAAGACCTCAACTCAAAAAATTTTACATGAAGAATTAGGAGTAAGAAAATTAGTTTCTCGTTGGATACCTCACCTGTTGACTGGAGAGCAGAAAGCAGCCAGGGTTAATTGGTGTCAAAAAACGCTTGACCGTTCCAATTCCGGAAACTCAAAAAAATGTGTACAGCATTGTTAGTGGTGATGAATCGTGGATTTACTGTTATGAACCAGAAAATAAATGACAGTCAGCTGTTTGGGTGTTCCAAGGTGAAGAAAAGCCAACAAAAGTCATCCGTTTTCGAAGTGTTTCGAAAAAGGTAGTCGCGACATTTGTGTCAAAAGCGGGTCATATTGCAACAATTTCTCTTAATGAGCAAAGAAGTGTTCCTGCGGATTGGTATACCACCATTTGTTTGCCAAAAGTCATCACCCAGCTTCGAAAAATCAACCCCGAAGGAAGAATCATCCTCCACCAAGACAATGTAAGCTCGCACAAAGCCCAAAAACCAAGGCTGTATTTAACGGAAGAAAACGTGGAATTATTGGACCACCCTCCATAATATATATAATAGTCCCGCACGGGTAACACGTATCTTGAAAAGTGCCGATTTTTTTTTTGACATTATGTAGATTTTCCCCAAGACGTTGACTTAGCACTTAGTTGTACGTGTTGCCTAAACGTCATGAGGCTTGTTATCAATCTTTGGCTCTGATGTAATGTAAAGTCTGCTTCTGAGATGGCATTACTGGAGGTCTAAGCTGTAACTTGTATGTGTTGATGATAATTACATTGGGTTCTTGTCTCAAATACACTTAATTGAGATTCAAAGCTAGAAATTAGTTGCGCGTCTACTTTTTCTTATCCATTCTGGAAATTACATATACAAATTTATTGAATTTCAAAAATGAGGGAAATAAGAAATAATTATATTCACTGTACACTGTCAAATTACAAGCCATATACATGCTAACATTAATTACACACGGCCGTGGCGATAATTTCCCGTAATTCTCCTCAGTTTTTCGTAATTTATAACTTTGAACATAACCCCTCTTCAGAAAGCACAACATATAAATAACCCGTCATATTCAGCATACTCGGTAATGATTTTCGCACACAGCAAATAACACTGATTCTATACACATGCAGATCAATACACATAATCATCCAGATGCGATCTTGTTATTCATCCAACTTTCTTCTCAGAGATAAAAACTACAGACACGGATCATTCAGCCTCACAAAACTATGCAACCAGTAATGCGTGAATAGTTTTTATAGTTGAGTGATTCCTTCATGGATGGACGTTCACAACGATCCTAGTGAGCAAACGTGGAATGACTGTTTGCGCCCTAAAAACTACCTAGTCTGCAAGTTGACATCTTATAGGTTTTTTTTTTGACGTTTTGTAGGTTTTTTACATGATACCCGTGCCGATCTAAGTCCTAACGATTTCTTTACTTTCCCGAAAATTGAAAACAGACTGCGTGGTCAAAGGTTCCAGTCACCAGAAGAAGCAGTTGACGCATTCAAAAATGCCGTTTTGGATCTGCCAGCAAACGAGTGGAATAGGTGCCTCGAAAATTGATTCGAGCGCATGCAGATGTGTATTAATCTTCGTGGAGAATACTTCGAAAAACAATAAAGTCATTTAAAACTACCTAACGTGTTGTTTTATTTCCTTATGCAAAACTTAAAAAATATCCCTCGTACAGTAGGTACAGTGACACGCACTTTGGAAACGTTCAAACTGTGATGCGAGACCTTGTATAAAACACAATCAAGCAATGGAATGTTTCTGCTGGTCACTCATTTGAAGCTAATAACGCTATCATAATTTATTTCATCTCCGCGAAATATAAGCGAAGTTGATAAATAATAAGAACCTTTATTTTAGCTATATATTGGTATATCATAAGTGCTCGCTAGCTTACTGGAAAGGTCGTAGTTTCCAAGATATTAAGAATACATATACAGTACGTTACAATAATTATTACACAGCTGGGACGTCATAAGGAGTGAGAACAGTAGAACCAGCGTTATCCTTATGGATGATGTATACCGGTGCTGGCTAAATCGAGAATAGGTAGTCAAGTTACAGGTCAATTTCTTCTTTAGGCAGACATTATGAAACCAGCGTCACCAATTCTGCTACCTATGATGACTGGCTGTACAATACTGGGTAAGGTATTGTATGACATTTGAAGGATTTAATATTCAGAAGTACTGATTTAATATAGCTATGAATGAAATGAATGATTTCACAGTAAAAAATAAACGTGGCCCCAAACTGTTAATAGAACAAACCCCAAAAAGGATCTTACAAATCGTAGGAGTGATGAAAATCGAAACAAAACTCTTAGCTACTTTTTGGTCGTACTTTGATTTCATGGAGAGGTGATGTCCCTTATTTAAATAGTTTAGGAGCTAGTATACAGGAAGCTTGAACTACGTCAAAATTCAATTCAGAAGATACGCCTAATTTTCATATTTTGTGTTTAAGGATCCATAAAGTACTATTAAATACATACTAAAAGCAATTAGTTTAATGTAAGGTTCCAAAACATTCTCTTAGGCTCTGAAGCTTGCATGTTTCCCTCCAAGACAGCACCGCCATAGCCAGAAGATGGCTTCTTATAGGTACTTGTGGTAAGACTGATATTAAATCACCATTTTCTAAATATGCCAACGTTCCCTGGTGCGGAATAAACTCGACAGAGCACGGTTTTGGTAGGCGCGACCAAAGAGGTAAATAAATGTCTAGACAATAGCGATTGTGCCGCTCGCACATTGTTAAAGATCTTATAGCTGTCAAAAACAAATTTTTCAAAAACGTTGTAAATATTACAAATTTACTACTTTCTGATACCATAACGGGTGAAGGTAACCAAAATCGTTTCACCCGGCTCTTTAAATAAAAACTTTATTTGAGGGTGCATACAAACCTTGTCTAAGAGACTGAACACGCGCGTACGACAGGTGTATACCCCTCGGCAATATGTTACGGGATTCCGGTAAGGGCGGATTTCGGGTTTGTCTTTCGCGCTTTTCCAAAAATATATTCAAAAGCTCACAGTTTATTATTGAGATTCAGAGTGAGATCGCGATAGTTTGTAATTATTAGAGGGAGCTTAATTTAAAATAGAAAACGGATATTTTTTGTTCAACAGGCGAAAGTCTGGCCATGTCAACGAGGATTATATATTACGTATGTCAAGGACCTTAAAAAAACCTTTGTTTATAGCATATGTGGGTGCCGCATATTGGCCTCTATACAAGAAATATGACGTCTTATTTATTCGTAATCTGTTGGTAATCAACAAATTGGACATTTATGAGTCGTTATTTCATATTACAAGAACATTAAATGCAAAACTATTTATCTCCGTCTTAATTTAGAGCTAGATGTGAAAAATAGTTATGTAAAGTGTAGAGTAATAAACGATGACTGTAAAGACTAACTGCAGTAAATATTCATCATCATTACATATGAACTGGTTTGATATTATGCCAAAAGAATATTGCATTGCATGATAAAATTAAACTTAAACTATTTGACAGGGTTTGTAATTGAAGTTCTAACTACCTCATTCTGTATTTGATTTGAGCAAGAGACTTTTCCTAAAGCACTGTCTCGCCAAATCCAGAAGGACTGTTTCAGAATATGATACCAATGCTATTATAGTAATATATATCAAAAAATAAGTTCCTTTAAAATAAACTGTCTAAAACGACTACGCGCACACACATACACACATTATCCTAAGAAACCAAAAAGGTACCATTCAATGCACTTTATTCATTTATTTATAATTCCCAAAATGTTACACCCAATTACCGGGAATATACCAATAACGAAAATAAATCCATAATATAACAATAGCGGAACGTAAAGAAAGTATGTGAAATGTGGAAATAGCTTTTAACATATTAAATCTACGAGTATACCAATCTCGGTAACCATCAAAGACAGAGTTTTCTCGATCACAAAAAATATCACAAGCGGAACAAATCGCATTGAAATACTTTATATAATTTAACTGTGATTTGCACTCGATGTTCGTAGTACAAATGTCAGAGTAAAACAAATGCACAGCGGTTACCTAACCTATGGACACGAAAAATTATTTTAACTAAATATACTAAGTGACATATAAATCCGAACACCCAGTTTAAATGGTTTTATTTTAATAAAAGTTGGTGAATGTATTTATCTTTCTGTAAATAACAAGTGAAACAAATTTCAGCCTTATCAGTTGGACATTCCGGTTTTTATACTGCTTTTTTTGAATATTTCAGCCGCAGTAAAGAATCAACGTTGGCGGATTTTGGTTCTTGACATCCTTTACGATCGGTTACGATGCCTAGAGTACGGAGACCTGTACGATTTCGTCAACTTAGTGAGTTTGATAGGGGCCGTATAGTGGGACTTCGGGAAGCTGGACTTTCTGTTCGGGCAATTGCAGTTAGAGTGCAAAGAAGTGTAGACACTGTGGTTAGGTGTTGTCAGGCATGGCTTCGAGAAGGCCGTACGCAAAGAGCAAGGGGCACTGGACGCCGCCGTAGAACAACAGACCGTGAAGATCGCCGCCTAAGATTATTGGCCTTAAGGGACCGTTTCTCCACTACCAGGTCCATTGCAAATAAATGGTTTGCAGGACACGGAAGACCTATTGGCAAGCGAAGTGTTTACCGACGAATGAGAAGTTTTGGCTTGTTTTCATACCGGCCACACTGGGTCCTCCCTTTAACTCGAGAACACCGACGTAATCGCCTTGAATGGTGCAGACAACGGTCACTCTGGGATCAGGAATGGAACAGTATTGTCTTTAGTGACGAGTCTCGATTTTGTTTAGGCATGCACGATGGTCGTGCCAGGGTTAGAAGGCGACGTGGTGAAAGGAGGAATCCACAGTTTTTTGTTGAAAGACATGTTCATCACACTGTTGGAGTTATGGTTTGGGGTGCTACAGCTCCAGGTCACCTTTAATCTTCATCAGAGGTAACATGAACGCGCAGCGTTATATCCACGAAGTTCTAGAACCCCATCTTTTACTCTATCTTGACATCCTGGCAGGTCCAACTTTCCAACAAGATAATGCACGACCACAGGTTGCAAGAGTCACAATAGACTTCTTTCAACATAATGATGTCACATTGTTATCATGGCCACCAAGATCTCCCGACTTATCCCCAATTGAGCACGTGTAGGATATGATGGGTAGGAGATTGCTCAATTTGCAACGACCTCCTCAGACTCTAGAAGCACTTCGAGAGGAGTTGGTGGTTGCCTGGAATGAGATACCACAGGAGGACATTGACCACCTGATCAGAAGCAAGCCTAGGCGCGATGGAGAATGCGTAGCACATCAGGGTGCATCCACACATTATTAAAGGTCAAAGGGCTTTAAAGCAGTGCAAGCATTTTGAAATTTTTATCATTTACTTATTATGCTTCATTAAGTACTTATACAAAATTTTATTAAAATAAAACCATTTAAACTGGGTGTTCGGATTTATATGTCACTTAGTATAACGTATAACGGGGCAATCAATGTGGTTGATCAGTAATTTATATTATAATCTTAGCAGCGATAAATTACGCCTTAATTGTAACTGCTCAACTTACAAGATTCTTAAGAGTGCCGAATGGTCAAAAACTCTTTTAGGGTAGTGACCGTGGTAATTAAAATAAAAATATTAAGTGCTTACTCCTAATAAAAGTGAAATACAGGAGCTTTAATGTTACGATATCAGCGAAGCCCGACCAATTACTGACGAAATATCCTAACGCTTGTTCTACCATATAAAGGGTGTGGTCATTAAATGTCAATTTAGCATCGAAGACGACTCCCAAGTTTTTTAAGGTCGAGTTCCTCTCAAGGAGGTTGCCATCAATGTTTAATATTTATCGTATACTATAGGATATAGTTTTCTAGTAAATGACGTAACGTTGATTTTGAAGTATTTATATAAAGCTAATTGTTTGAGCAGTCATTGAGATTATTAATAACAACGTAAATTTTGTAATCATCAGCATAGAGTAGATGTTTGCATGGCAAAGACAGCGATAAACCATTGATGAAGATTATGAACAACAAAAGTCCTAAATTTGACCCCTGAGGTAGACCAGATGTTGCAGTATAAGTCTTGGATTGATAGCCGTCATACTAAACGTACATACTTCTTTCCAGGATATACCTACGACTTTATGAGCAGCATAAAGGGTATGACAAGACAGCACATTCGTGCTCAGCTAATAACAAGTAGTGATCTATTTGACCAAAGGCCTTTTGAATGTCAGTGTATATGACATCCAATTGTAAACCCATGCTGATTGTCAGAAACAGATCCCCTCACAGATCCATACGAGACCTGCGTCATTTCCCCGATCGAGGGCTATGCACATGTTGATAGCATTAGATTTTGAAAATCGCCCAAAATGGCTTGGCCAAGACATAAATACAATCTTTTTTTGGTTTTAAGTTTCCTAGTAGCGCGAATAATATCATCTTTAATAATATACTGTTAAATGTAATAGATGAGATAGCAGTGTGCAAAACAAAAAACATGTACTTACTCCTCACAAAACGCAAGTTCATATGGTAGAAGATGATCTTCTTACTTACACCGTATTCAATACAAATCCAAAACGGTTTTCCAATACAGTAGTGAAGGCATTCGTCAAAACATCGCAACTCCTAGGGAATAATTTATAAGAGGTGCTCAATCTCTGGGGACAATTTACTCAGACCGGATACGTATTATCTTCAGTTTTGGTTTGTCTAGTGCTGGTGGAGACAGTGTATCCAAATCCTAACCTTAGACTTGTATATCTGGCTGCATCAAACACCCTCTTTGTGGAAGACGCACCCAAAGTGGATATATATTGTGATGAGAACGCGTTCAGAACGAGCCCCAGCGAAGCATGAAGCCGCTCATAGCCGCAGGGAAAGGAGGCAGATAAGCAATTGGATATAAGAAACATTTGTGTATCCGCCGAAAAGCTGGAAACTCATCTTTTTCCCTTTCTGCGGTTAGCCTCGGGTTCGACGAGGAAATACTTTGTAGCTCTTTTGAAACCGACGACTTTTCGATGCAGATATGAATTTGGCGGCGGGGTTATGCGGCGGTTTTTTGCAATGCTGGCAGCTACTAGCTATGAAATTAAAAAAGGAAATTTTTCGTACGTGTAGGGGTGGAATGATTCGTAGGTGGGATGGGTGTCAGCTGTCTAAGCCAGTCAAACACTAAGAAAACGTATTTGATATCAAGAGTGAAACTTTAAATTCGGGTAGTTTCTTGTAACTAATTGAATTTGGGGTCTAAAAACACAGCTTCCTGATATGATCTTGCCGACGTTTCGGAAGAGAATATTTCCTCCTTCAGGGCTCCTTTTACTTGTGGTGGCCAAAAGAAAATCCAACGTTATGAACATCTTAGATATAATTTAGACTGCAAAACGAAAAACTATTACGAGGTTCAGCTGGACGCAGATTGATCGAAGTTATATTCATCAATTACAGTCTGAATGATGTCTAAGATGTGCATAACGTTGGAGTATTATTTAACCACCATAGTTATGAAGTAAAAGGAGATCTGAAGGAGGAAATACATTTTTCCTACACTTCAGCAACTTTATAACAGAAAAATGTATTCCTTTAGACCGCAAAACCCAATAATCACAAGGTACTTCCATTAAAATGGTCATTAGAAAAATAATTTTCAATGCAGATATTGTCATTCCTTTTTTAAGCAAGTGAGCAAGCAAATGGTAGTGGTATATCAGATACGGTGTACCAGTGTTCAGGTACAAGATCCAGGAGTCCAGAGTCAAGAGTCAGAAGAGTCAAACTCAAGAATAAAAATGCTAGCCCTTGAATGAACCAATGTTCCATGCGAATGGAATATTATATAGAAGATCATGCATTTTAGTTAACAAGACAATGTAAAAATCAATGCGTTGTCTATTACTGGTAAAGATATACAAGAAATGCATGAGAACAAAATAAAAGCAAATTTATTCTGAGTAACTGATTTTTTTCTTGTATATAGCATTATGCCGAAATTCGGAAATTGAATATAGTCCTCAAATTCAGTTGAAAAACAATGTCCATAAGACGCAACGACAAAAGAGATGGCGATCCGGAAACCTCTTTTTCAGCTTTCACTCCTGACATGCTCGTTTTGATGATTCTATAATACCACCTGCATCTGTATAATAACAAAGCAGTCTTACACGAGTCTCAATACAGGTGTTCCTTAAAGCTTCATCATTGTTTTCAAGTTATCTCAAGTTTGGTACGAGGGATGCCTTTTAAGTTTAGAAACATAGTAGGCCGCGCGGATCGAACGTCAGTACTGAATCTTAACCTCACTCTTTAGTAAACTTAAATTCAAAGTTTCACAACAATAGGTGCAGTGTTCTCACTACAGTGAATTTCTAAGTGTCACTAAGTCATCAGAAAAATGGAACCCAACCGAGAACATTTTCGCGCCATAATTTATTACAACTTTCAGAGACAATTATCCCAACAAGAATGCCTTGCTGAGTTACTGTCTCTTTTCGCAACGAAGCGCCACGTCAGTCGACAATTTTCCGTTGGTATGGAGCATTCAAACGTGGACGGGTGAGTCTTAGCGACGATTCCAGGGTGGGTGCACCAAAAACGGCAGTCACTCAGAAAAACGTCGATGCTATGTGCAAACTCATCATTGAAGATAGACATGTGACATATCGCGAGACTGAGGAGTCCTTGAAAATCTCAAAGACCTCAATTCAAAAAATTTTACATGAAGAATTAGGAGTAAGAAAATTAGTTTCTCGTTGGATACCCAACCTGTTGACTGAAGAGCAGAAAGCAGCCAGGGTTAATTGGTGTCAAAAAACGCTTGACCGTTTCAATTCCGGAAACTCAAAAAATGTGTACAGCATTGTTAAAGGTGATGAATCGTGGATTTACTGTTATGAACCAGAAAATAAACAACATTCTGTTTGGGTGTTCCAAGGTGAAGAAAAGTCAACAAAAGTCATCTGTTCTCGAAGTGAAAAGATGGTCGCGACATTTGTGTCAAAAGCGGGTCATATTGCAACAATTCCTCTTAATGAGGAAAGAAGTGTTACTGCGGATTGGTATACCACCATTTTTTTTGCCAAAAGTCTTCACCGAGCTTTGAAAAATCAACCCCGAAAGAAGAATCATCCTCCACCAAGACAATGCAAGGTCGCACACAGCCCAAAATACAAGGCAGTATTTAACGGAAGAAAACGTGAAATTATTGGACTATTCTCCATTATAGTCCCGATCTAAGTCCTAACGATTTCTTTACTTTCTCGAAAATTGAAAACAGACTGCGTGGTCAAAGGTTCCAGTCACCAGAAGGAGCAGTTGACGCATTCAAAAATGCCGTGTTGGATCTGTCAGCAAACGAGTGGAATAAGTGCTTCGAAAATTGGTTCGAGCGCATGCAGTTGTGTATTAATCTTCGTGGAGAAAAACAATAAAGTCATTTAAAACTACCTACCCTGTTGTTTTACTTCCACATGCAAAACTTCCCTCGTATTCTGATAGGTGGTGACCGTCGAAGAGTTCTAAATCACGCCCATAGGTAATATGTAAGTTAATTCCTCAATCAAAGATGTTTAGCTACGTCCGATTTTTTATAATCTTAAAGCCACTTGCTTCATATGCAATATCGCCATGGTCAGAGGGTTCTGACAGAGTTATATATTGTAAGAGAAAATGTTATTTGGTAGTAATGAGGAGTTCCTTAAGATCAAGAAACTTTGAGAGTATTTCACTACAAAACATTTTCAATAGAGATCACACACCTCCTTTGATTTATTTATACACAATTGCCCAATAGACTAATCCAATTACAGGGCAATATAATTGTAACTTAACTAATTAATAATGTGCATACAATAACTACATACCACAAAAATGACAAAATAGCTATTTTAATAGTCCCAAATAGAAGAGAGACTGTGACACTTTAGCGAGTCGGCAAGGTTATTTATGAAGAATAAAAACATCAAGGGGCCTAGGTTCGAACCTTGTGGCACGCCTGAGGAAACAGTATAATTTGCTGAATAACAATCATTATAATGAACATATTGCGTTCTATGGGAAATATATGAGCTTAGGATACCGACTATTAAGTCACTAAGGCCAAAGTAATGAATTCACTAGAAAATGGTGGTTTGACGTATCGACAGCCTTGATGAAATCCATGCAAATAACATCAACTTGTTGCTAATTGCTTATTGATTCTACTATATATTGCGTAATTGTCATTAAGTTTGACTTAGTGCATCTACATTTCATGAAGCCATGCTGTGATGGTATAATTAGGATTTTCACGTTCTCAAAGTAATAGTAATAATCCTTGCA